TACATCAGAAATGTCAAAAATAGTGTTGGATCAGACCCAACTTGCACAGCCCGATACCGATATGGTCGCAACGATGAGAGTATATGTATCCAATGCTGCTAAACGTGCTGTTACTGACCAAAGCCGACATAGCAGCACATCCAAAGGAGGTTAGTGAAGCCTTATATACTGAGCTCAAGATCTGGATTGATAACCGATGCTTTGAGATGTACGACTTATCCAAAGCTTCCAACATCATGACATCCAGATATGTATACAAGTGGAAGTTCGTAAAGATGGGCACCGAGAACGTTAAAACCATTCGTCTCAGATTGGTCCTTCGTGGATTTATGGATACTGAGGCCTTTTGATGTGGAAACATTCTCGGGAACCGCCCGAAGGCAGTCTCAACGACTCTTGGCAAGTGAAGCGGCATGTCATCCAGAGTGGATCTTAGCATCCATGGATATCGATAAGGCATTCCTAAAAGGTTTGACCTACGAGGAACTTGCCCATGCCACTGGCGAGGAAACTCGCATGGTCTGCTTTACTCTTCCACCAGGAAGCGCTCAGGTACTTCGTACCCTACCCGGCTTCTCATCCTACGACGAAAGTCGACACTGTCTTAGGTGCCTCAAACCAGGAACGGGTACTAAGGACGCCCCAAGAGCGTTCTCTCTCAAACTTCGTACGACCACACGAGCTATAGGACTTTCACCGACTAGTTACGATCCTGAATTTGAATTCAGCCAAGATCTTCTGACTGCAAAACATGTCGATGACATTAATATGACAGGTCTAGAGAAAAATATCGACGACTATGTACAACGTGTCGAAAAGGTTTTTGGCAAATGCAAGCTCAACAAGCACACATATACGAACTGTGCCGTCCGCTACACTAAGAATGATCAGGGAGATGTGATCATGGACCAGGACGAGTATATCAAACAACTACGTCCCATCACACATCCAGAACTTACAGGAGCGGCGGCCGACGCCAAAGCCACGAAACTTATTACCGACATGTTCGTCAGCCTGCGAGGAGCCCTCGCCTATGCCCTTCTTACTCAAATCTGGCTTATGGTATATGTGGTCTCTCTTCAGAAAATTCAAGAGCCCACCAATTTACAAGTCAGACGTTTGAATGCTGTGACGCGAAAGCTGATCAGCAGTCCGAAACGTATCACCTTCCCTCGGATGAAGCCGACGAATGAAGTCGACATCCATAGCGATTCGGGATATCGGAAGCTTACCGGGGAGGAGGATGACGAGACCAAGGGCTACGGCATACGCGGGGCCAACGTACTACGGCGAGGAAACTCGCCTCAAGGCAAGTCCGTCGTTCACCTCTGTGACGGACTATGCAAATCACACCGATTACAGGTGAGGTCCAGTTATGCTGCGGAGGCACTTGCAGCCGCACATAACCTTGATGAGTGTTACCCTACGCTCATTACTCTCCATGAGCTTAAGGCAGGGGCCTTGACTCCACGACAACTACGAGATATGCGTGAAGTTGGAGGCCTTGCTATCAAAGTCTCTCTGACCATGGACGCTGAGTCCGTCTGCAAATCTTTATCAAGCAGGGATCTCAAAATACCCACAGAACGGACTCTGCTTGGACATATCAGTTGGATACGTGAGCTTATGGATATAGGTATAGTACATAACGTGCAATGGTGTGATACTAGGGATATGACCGCAGATGGGCATACAAAGGGAAGCATCGATCGGGAGCTGCTTCTGGAAGTGATGTCAGGCACTCAGTCATTTAAGTATGACGTGAAGCAATTTGTTCCTTTTCGGGGTCCCGAGGACAGAGACAAACCCAAGTCTAATCAATTTTAGTCTGTCCTTGTTGCCCTCGCGGTCCAGTTTGCCAGCACGGGCGCCTATTATAAAGGCGCCCCTTTAGTTGCTCGGAAACGAGCCTCGTATTTCACGCCTGGCAACGAGCCGGCTTCATACAACTCAGGCTCTTTGCCTTAATACACATTTGCTTGGTGAGGTATGGCCTAATTTTGGCCTACCTCTAACTAGGCCGATAGCCCTTCATTGTTTGAAGGGGCTGTCCTGTATTTGCGTGAAATACTTTGCGAGGAAACTCGCCTTACATTCTGGCGTTTGGCCAGTTTGTACGCACTGTTTTCATTTCTTTGCAAGCAGTCGTGCGCGCGAATTTTGCGTGCGACTATGCTCTCCGTCTCCTCCCCTCCCGACTTTAAGGGTAGCTCTTTGGGAGATGTTACAGTATCGGGAGCATAGCTCGCGCGCCGCTGCCTTGGGCTCAAGGCACGCGCGCCCTATTTGCCCGGACACCGCGAGTGTTCGCTATGTGCTGGAAAGATCATTACATCGATCTTATCCTATCTTATCCGCCCACCCCTCATACTGTACCTTCACAGCTACAGCAGAGCGATGGACGCTATTTGCCATCCGATGTCCACGGTCAGCGCCTTGGAATCGGATGCTATATGACAGGCTATATGCCCTATTTGAGTTACCAAGCTCACTTTCGACTTCCAGGTAGTATTTAGCTGCCCTGTTCCCTGGCGCCGCGGACAGGACCCCTCCCGCGGTTGGCGCTTCTCCTCCACCCTCGTCTAAGGGCCGCGTCTGGTATGGACGGCCTGAGGGATCCCATTTCGTTGAAGGCACGCGTGGGGCTGATGGATCTGGAGGTAAATGGTCAAACTGCGCCTTTCTTTGTCGGGCGTCTGGGTCGCGCGCCTCGTAGGGCCCTATCGGTCTGAGTTGGGGCCCGGGGTGCGCGGGGGTGGTCGACGGCCATGAGCAATCTGTCCCGAGGGCTGAGTTGCGTGCGATTGTTGAGTGCGCGAGGGCTGTCGACCCTCGCTCATCTCTTTGCCTCACGCGACCGCGTCGACCACGTGCGAGCCGCGGCCGAAGGAGCGCGCAATTACTTTGAGCTGGAGCACGCAAGCTTGTGGCATCAGCTATCCTTTTTCTTGAAAGATCGGACATAAACTTCTATGCGCCGCCCCGCCTCGCAGATGACATGGCGAAGTTTCGGCGGCTTGCGTCGAGTGCGCCCCGAGGAGCTGCATGCACCATGCACGTTGTGGATGGCGTGGCGGAGTCGAGGTGGAATCGCGCAGGGTCGACACAGATGCACGGCAGCGCGCCTTAGGTTTGGTGGCTAAGATTGAAGCAGTCGCGAGCAGGAGTAATGTTCTGTCTGCGCGGCCCGCCCCCTTGCATCCGCCCCCCACCCCGCGCGGTGAAGGCTGCCCCCGCCACTGGCGGAGAGGCAAGTCAAGAGGCGCGATGCTTTTGCCCGCGCCTCCTCCCGCAGGTCCCAGATCGCATGGTTTTTGAAGGGTCGCTACACGCCGCTGCCACGTTTCCGGAAGGTTTTCCCGCCGAGGTGCGGCGTCACCTCCTGTGGCGAAGTGCACAGTGGGCACACTGTCCCCATGCCGTCAACCTCCCCCTGCTGTGGAGGTGGTCGGAAATTCCTTTTTGATTTTCATCTTTCACCAGGCATCCAATCTTTGTTTGATGCTTGTGCTGCATGCTGCCCCGGGCAAAATGCACCGCGTCGTCCACCTCTTCGAGTCTTCCCTTTTTCCGCCCCCCTTCCTTCAGAGGACGCTAAGATGGGAGCGATAGCCAGGTGGTGAATATCAGTGGCAGGACAAGGGTATCCCTCTGGATTATATGGCCCGTTCTTCTTATGTTCGTGCATCCTCCCCCCCCCTGGGCCGCGCACATGCCGTAGGCCACTATTCGAGAACACCCCCTTTTGGTGGGTCCCCCTCCCGATTTCCTCTCAGTTTCACCCCCTCGCTGGCTCCCTCCAGCGAGTGGAGTGGAGCTCCCTGCGCAGTCGGACCTTCTCCTGGTGTATCGGCGGAGCATTTCGACCTGCCCAGGCAGCAGACACGCGAAGGAGAAGAGCACCGATGCCGATGCGTGTTTCTTCCCTCGTCTTAACTTCTGGGGCACCTTCTGGAAGGGCCCTCTTCGCCACGGCTGTTCTCACCCGGAATCCTGGTCAGACGGCGCCATGTTCCAGGCCTCCTGGACGGGGTCCGTCCGAGCTGATAGGACCAGATGATCGCCAAGGGCCGCCACTGCATCGGCGATGTGGCTCGATGTGGAACCCGATGTATTTCGCGCCCATTGCGTCGATGCAGCGCCGCCGTCACCGATGCATCGGTGGCGTCGCCTCCCATTGAAATAAGGTAAGGATTCGGCGCGTCCTTGGTACCAAGCTCAAAATATGTATTGAGACGCGTATGTACTTCGACTTGATTTCGGTTTGTACGATGCTCTGCAGATCAATCAACCATTGGCTCACCATGCTGCGGGCAACACAGCCTGGAACGATGGGACACTTTTCGCGCTTGGGATGGGTCATTGGGTGGACCGGGCACGTGGTGCATTGTGGTAGGTGCTCATGGGACAGTGTCGCTGGGCTGGTCACCGCACGTGAACACACTTGCCGTCACGAATCGGGTTGTTGCTTGAATGATTTCTGGACTGGGCGTGAATCTGCATGCGACGGTGGAAAGTCATGAGTGGAGCAACATGATGGCAGGTGCATTCGCGTGTGGCGACCCACGAGCCAGTCCGGGCCAATCCCGGCGAGCCTGGCCTTGGCAGGCTCGCGACGCGGCCAGGTGCAGTCTCAGTTGTTCGTCTTCACGGCGCCTTTGGGGCCCAGAAGCCTCAGCATCGCACCCCCGCGCGAGGGTTCCCTTGGCTGGAGATGTCCCTCGAAGTTTGAATCCTGGCCAGTTGTTCGGAGGTCTGACCTGCATGGGCAGGGTCCGCATGTGGTTGCCTACCTGCTGCGTCGTCGTCGCCGCCGCTCTCGTCGTCGTCGTCGTCCCTCGGTCGTCGTGGCTGTTGTCGCCCTTTGTTCGTCGTCGCTGTCCTCTCTCTTCGGGCCTCTGTCTTGTTATTCACTGCGGTCGTCGTCGTGCGTCGGGCGTCGTCGCCGTCGGTCGGTCGCCGCCTCGTCGCCGTCGAGCCGGCGGCCGCCCGGCCGCGAGGCTCGTGGACGTGCGCAGGACGCTGGCGCTGCTCCCCGAGTGCCTGCGGCCGCCGTCCGCGGCCCGGGGCCGCGGGCCGGGAGGGAGGAGCATCCACGACGCGCCGGCGTCGGGGGCCCGTCCGTGCAGTAAAATTAGGGCTTCGGGTTGCGCACGGACGGTCGCGGCCCAGCTCTTCGACAGGCCCCCCGAGCAGTCCCAGCTGCTGGCCTCGACAGGCTCCCCCGCTGGCGGCGCCAGTGTGTTGAGACCGCTCAGGGCTACGCAGTGGGCCTGTTGGGGCCAGCAGCTGGGATTACTCTGGGGGGCTGTTGCTGCCAGCTCGGACTACCTGTGGGTGCTGTCTGTGTGCAGCCCGAAGCCTTACCACGTCAGCGTGTTACTCCGTCGCTGTCGTCCGACAGTCGGACGTTGTTTTTTACCAGTGACGCGCCGATGGGTCCCCAACGGCGGCGTGCCATGAATGCTGTTCTGCCTCCCCTTCTGGGGGGCACAAGCATCGTCCAACCTATCCGCATCCCCACTGGGCCATGGTATCTCAGCCCCACCAGCCCATCCTCCCAGGTGGGGATCGCCCCCGCGAGACCCAAGGGAGGAGACATGCATCAATTCCGAGCTGTGAGGGCAAGCGGTCAGTGGGGCCAAGGACACGCCAGTGAGGAGATGGCATCGACCCGTTTCAGGTTCCAGAATCACCCTGGAACGGTTCCGGGGTGAAAATTGGAACCTGAAACGGGTGATTTTCCATCTGGGCGCTCTCGGGGGCCTTGCGGGCGCATCTTGGGGAAGGGGGGGGCGTACCCGAGCTCCCAAAATGGCCATTTTCCAAATGAAATCTCTTATTGGGGAGCTCGTTTTTCGCGGCTGCGCCCTGCCGCGCAGCGTCGGGAGGTCCTAGATGGATTTTCACCCCGGAACCGTTCCAGGGTGAAAATCCATCTGGGACCCCCTCCCGACGCAAAACGGCTCTGTCGGGGATGGGGGGGGGGTATCCGAGCTCCCAAAGTGGCCATTTTCCAAATTAAATCTCTGATTGGGGAGCTCGTTTTTCGCGGTTGGGCCCTCCCGCGTAGCGTCGGGAGGTCCCAGATGGATTTTCACCCCGGAACCGTTCCAGGGTGAAAATCCATCTGGAACCCCCTCCCGACGCAAAACGGCTCTGTCGGGGATGGGGGGGGTGTACCCGAGCTCCCAAATGGCAATTTTCCAAATGAAATCTCTTATTGGGGAGCTTGTTTTTCGCGGCTGGGCCCTCCCGCGCAGCGTCGGGAGGTCCCAGATGGATTTTCACCCCGGAACCGTTCCAGGGTGAAAATCCATCTGGAACCCCCTCCCGACGCAAAACGGCTCTGTCGGGGATGGGGGGGGGCCCGAGCTCCCAAAATGGCAATTTTCCAAATGAAATCTCTTATTGGGGAGCTCGTTTTTCGCGGCTGGGCCCTCCCGCGCAGCGTCGAGGTCCCCGATGGATTTTGTTCCAGGAACCGTTCCAGGGTGAAAATGCATCTGAACCCCCTCCCGACGCAAAACGGCTCTGTCGGGGATGGGGGGGCGTGCCCGAGCTCCCAAGATGACAATTTTCCAAATGAAATCTCTTATTGGGGAGCTCGTTTTTCGCGGCTGGGCCCTGCCGCGCAGCGTCGGGAGGTCCCAGATGGATTTTTACCCCGGAACCGTTCCAGGGTGAAAATCCATCTGGAACCCCCTCCCGACGCAAAACGGCTTTGTCGGGGATGGGGGAGCGTGCCCGAGCTCCCAAAATGGCAATTTTCCAAATGAAATCTCTTATTTGGGAACTCGTTTTTCGCGGCTGGGCCCTGCCGCGCAGCGTCGGGAGGTCCCAAATGGATTTTCACACCGGAACCGTTCCAATGTGAAAATCCATCTGGAATCCTCTCCCGACGCAAAACGGCTCTCTTGGTGGCTTCTGTGAGGAGCCCAATCAGAGTTTCTGTAAAGAGTCCAGTGAGGGCTTCTGCAAGGAGCCCAGTGAAGGCTTCTGCAAGGAGCCCAGTGAGGGCTTCTGCAAGGAGCCCAGTGAGGGCTTCTGCAAGGAGCCCAGTGAGGGCTTCTGCAAGGAGCCCAGTGAGGGCTTCCGCAAGGAGCCCAGTGAGGGCTTCTGCAAAGAGCCCAGTGAGGGCTTCTGCAAGGAGCCCAGTGAGGGCTTCTGCAAGGAGCCCAGTGAGGGCTTCTGCAAGGAGCCCAGTGAGGGCTTCTGTAAGGAGGCCACTAAGAGGGCTTCTGTAAGGAGCCCAGTGAGGGCTTCTGAAAGGAGGCCACTAAGAGGGCTTCTGAAAGTAGGCCAGTGAGGGCTTCTGAAAGGAGGCCACTAAGAGGGCTTCTGTAAGGAGGCCACTAAGGGCTTCTGTAAGGAGCTCAAAATGTGTCCAGATGGGTTTTCACCCCGGAACGGTTCCAGGGTGATTCCGGAACCTGAAACGGTCAGTGTCAAGTTTCCAGAATCACCCCGGAACGGTTCCAGGTGATTCCGGAACCTGAAACAGAGGATTTTCGTGAGGAGATGGATCTGTTGAACGATGCTCAGGGGCGGGCGGGCAGAGGGCGACTGCAACGGGTGTGGTTGCGCCGAGGTGTGGTTGCGACCTGCGTTGTCGGCGTTTTTCTGGTCCATCAGGGACGACGTTCGTGGGGACTATACAGCGGGGGCACGCATTAAGAAACCATATTCTTTTTATCAGGGTACCCTGGGTTTCTTCACTCCTCGCGCTGCGCGGTGACTTCCCGCGGCCGTTGAAGAAGCTTGTGCGTTCAGGGTGCCGTGGGCTTCCCCCGAGTTGCACCTCTCGCGCGGGTCTTCAAGGCTGGGTTTCTTGCGAGGGTTCCTTGCGGCAGCGACCGCCTTGTATTCAGGGGTGTGGTACATCGATCGCCAATCGCCCTTGCATCGCCAGCAGGGGCCCGATAGCCCAGCCCGCCACGGAACGAACGGGTTCGCTGTCGGGGGCCTATCGCCGATCTGTCGGCGATGTGTCGCCGATTCCAGGCCGATGTTTCCCCCATGAGCTGGTCCCTGCCGAACGTTCCCCCCGAGCTTGGGATGATGAGCCCTCGTCTGGGCGCTGGGGGGGGGATATCTCTGTCGAGGACCTCGCCCGCCCCTTGGGGGCGCGGGTTGCAAGCCGCTCCCTTGGCAACCCGCGCCCTGGGGATTCGCCGGGCGGGGGGCGACGAAGCTCCGAGGCCGGGATGCATACAGTCAGGACGGTGAAGTAAGGATCGCTTCGGGCTCAGTTGGGGGCTCAGACTTTCGAGCCGCTCCTCGGGAACAGGCCGTGGATCATCTATTGGTGGCCGAGGCTTTCCGTGGCCAGAGGCGCTCCAGCTCGTCTCTTATGCAGCATTCCTTCTGGTAGCACGCCGCCCGAATGGGGGCCAGGGTTGATGGGGTCGGAGGATCGCGCCGCATCGCCGATGCGTTGGCGATGTGGCGCGATCTGGAGTCCGATTGTTCTCCGTCCTGACGCCGCTGGTTCATCGGCGATGCACTGGCGATGTGGTGCGATCCCCCAGCCCTGTCAACTCTCGGGTGCTTGGGAGGCCTCCAGAGGCTGGGACTTATGCAGATCTGTCGCCTGGGGAGCGGATATTGCGGTACCTCGGGAGGTGGTGGATGTCGATCTGTTCGGCCCCGCTTGGGGCCCAAAGATATCCAATTTCACCGCCGCCTGGGGTCCTTGGAGACTGTTTCCCCAGGCGGTGGACACGTAGAACACCTGGCCTCGGAGAGACAGTGACCAGCAGGCTTTCGTAGTCTAAGTCGGGCACGTCCCTCTTCAGGAGGATTAGTTATTCAAAACTAGTCAAACAATTGTATGTTCGACTATGTTTAAACATATGTTTCGGGTATTTGTTATTTGTCCTCCCAAATCCGCCTGTAGGAGGACATGCCCGACCTATCGCAGTCTCGTCGCAGTGGCGACGCCTCTTGTCTGTGTGGTTATGTTGAGCACAGCTCTAGGGGCGTCGAGGGTTCGGGCCGCCTCGACGCGACGGCGACGTCAGCGCGTGCGTGATAGGCTGAGCGCCCTCTGGGCGCTTGTTTCGTGCTCGGGCACCGCAGGAAATATCCCACATCGCCAAGCCCGTACGGCAGATGGGGGCGAGAGCTCCTCGGGGACGACCGGGACAAGGTACACGGTTCAAGGATAGGACGGGTCACGCGGCGTCAGGGACCAGAGCCGATATCACGGCAGAAGCCTGCCGTGACGGAGGAACATGGGGAGAGTGAGGAGAAGGAGGAGGGGGAGGAGGGTGAGGAGGAGGAGGAGGAGGAGGAGGAGGAGGAGGGGGAGGAGGAGGAGGAGGAGGAGGAGGAGGAAAAGGAGGAGGAGAAGAATGACAGGTAGGCAGATCAGAAAGCGGATGATGAGGACGACGACGCAAGGGAGGAGCACGAGGAGTACGAGAAGGAGGGGGAGGAGTAAGAGCAGGAGTGTGAGGAGGAGGAGCAGGTGGAGAAACGGGGGAGTCGAGGCGCAGGAAGAGGTGCTCTTCTCTGAATTTCTTTGGGGCTTCCTTTTGGGCTCCGTGGGGCTCTTTGAAGCCTCTCAGGGCCTTTTCGGGACCTTCTTCAGGCCTTCGTGGAGCCTGGTTTGGCCAAGTCAGGGTCTGTGGCCCTGATGGGCCCGCGCATTGGCCCTGTCGTGCCCTTGGAGGCCCATCTGAGGCAACACGCGCGAGACATCCGGAATCGACGGAGCCTATGTATGTATAAATTTGGAAGGTGCTGATCTCTTGGGTGCTTTGGCAGTCCTGGGCTCACCCAGGAGCAGTGCTGACGTTCCATGTTTGAGCCTTTCGCGGACATGCGATGTCTGCATTTCTCTATACGGGATTTTCCTCGGAGCCCCGATCCTTTCCTTACGGCCGGTTCTGATCGCGAGTCGTTTATGGCGGTCCCCGGGCTCAGCGAAGGCCCCCCGAGACCGAAAATGGCAAAACAGTCTCCCGATGCGTTTTTGTTCAAGACCCGATGGTAGTCTTGATTTATGACGATGTTCCAACATGCTGTAGCTTTGTTCACCAGACAGAATTTCGAGCACCAAGAAAGTACCGACAATTGAAGATTTTCACGTGTCGGGCCCTGGGAGGCGACACTCATTCGACACTGTTTCAATACTTTTCTGGGTGCTCGAAAATACTGCAAGGATAAGTCCGATGGGAGCAACAAAAGTTTTGGTATACAGAGATCTCCTCGCAGTTGGCGGAGCTGATGTGGGAGATTAGCGGCCAGACCGCCTGATTCTTCAGGAAGCGGGTCCCGCCTCCAGAGGGAAGAATGTAGCCTCGCATGCTTCGCCCGGGGACAGCACATCGTCGGACACGTTGTGCTCATCAATACGAGAGTTAGCACCGCCGCGGGTGGCGCCCACATCGTTGGCGGGATCGCCACACAGAGAGAGAAGCGGCCCGTAGTGCAAGAAAGTCGCATTGCAGAACATATCAACGCAGAGGCCTTGTGAAACAATACTGAGGGTCGTCAATCAAATTCTTCAGCAGTGACAGCGGTACTATCATGGTCTCGTAGGCTGTCCAGATCGTCCACGGATTGCTGGAGCCAAGGGCCAAAGATGATCATTTCCACGAGGTCGCCCATCGTCGCCCAGAGGGCTCTTGGACTCACAACCCAAGAGTTGACAACAAACAGTGATACATGTATCTATTCATGATATACAAATATGTGTATACATAACTATACACATGTAAATACTGCGGCGACGGGATCCGAGGGCGCCGACAGCACCCGCTTCCAAAACCGAAGGCGTCGTATTCGCATTTCCGTCGTTGCATCTGGGAATTCAAGCGCTCGCCAGACCTCTTGATTTGATAGTACATTGTACTTGACGGTGCCGTCGGCCTGCTCCTCTTCGTGTACGGTTTGCCTCGCGTCAGATTGCGGGCGGAATTGGGAATGAATGATTCGAAGTTTTGGACATCAGGATCAGATATCACACAGGCGTCCATGCCAGACCAGGTATCTCCACGACGTGGCCACGAACAACTGTATGACTCGAGCGCAACTTCACGGGCGACGACCAGTGTAAACGACGAAAGCGTTCAGGACGGGTCGTACCAGCGTAGTGTGATTTATTTCCGATATATTTTGTTTGGGGAAGAATTTTCTGGGTGGGGCAGTGTGTGCGTGGTAGCAATCACGCAGAACACCATGGGCACTTCGGCCACTCCAGAAAATCACGCATTCCTCTTTTTCTCGTTTTCGCTCGATGCCGTTGGTTCGCAGGGCGAGGTCGAAGATGCCGTTGCGGAGCTCCGTTTCGTCCACCAACGGCCGAAGGGTTGCGAACACCGTGTTCTGTGCAGAGCCGTCGGCACACATCGTTGGCAGAAGCGTCACCGTGAGGGTGTTGCTGCATACATGGGCAATCCAATTGCCAATGGCTGGGTTGTACAGTTCGACGAACTCGTCAGCCGCAATTGCATCGACAGAACAAGGACAGATATCCAATGCACCGTCCTGGGCATCGGCGTGCATGCAAGCACAGCAACCACCTGCGGCCGCAGTGCCACGCACCGCAGTTCAGCAGCAGCGCGCCACGAAGTCACGCCTCTCTACGCGTAGCAGTCGCTCGCAAAAACGCGAATGATCACGAGCAAGATCACGACGACCGTCTTGAACGAGAGCATGGTGTGCTGGAGCAGGCTGGGTATTGACAGCGTCAAGATAGTCACGGTGCATTCAATCCCAACCCGCATATGTTCCCGAACATCAGTTTAGCGGGCCTCGAGAAGGGGAGAACATTTGTCCGCTCACCATGTCCAGGGCGGAGAAGTCGCTGCGTGTCAAGGCCTCGTGATACTCCTAATGTAACTGCGCACGGAGTTGGCGACGATCACGTCGTACCAGTGTGTGCTTAAGTTGGCAAGGGCCCGCATACGCCAGATGCCTGCGCCATGCTTGAAAGTCATCAACAATCGAAACAAGAACACGTCGCTGGCGAACGGGTTGCCGAGGAATGAGGGCACACTGCTCCAACAAATATCTTAGATAGCGCGTGCGTGATCAACTGGGCGAGGCTGACGGCGCGGCGCCGCCATTGAGGAGTGCATGCGGCCAGCGTCGAGAAGAACACTCTTGAGCCACTGGTACAGTCGACCACGGCCAATGTCACCCGGAACTCGATCACACGCGTCGCCACGTTCACGAACCATTCTCAGAACGGCCAGTCGCCAACCTCCCAGGCTCGATACTTGGCGTTTACTGAACGGCCTAGGGCGTTTACTACACAGCCCTGTCCTGTTCGATTCCTTCTTTGGGTGCGTTTACTCTACTGCCTCGCTTGTCGGGGTGGAATAATGGGGGTGGATGTTCGACCCTCTATCGTCGTCGCTCGTGCCAGCCGGACTTCATGTCACAACCGATTCGCAGGCTGTCCGTGGTAGTGCAGAGCGTCTTTGGAAACGTACTGAGAGAGTGCGGGGATCTTCACGCCCAGGTTTGGCAATACTTTGGAGGCGGCCACCGGCAGCATGTGAGACAGAGGAGGAGCTGGAGGAGGAGGAGGAGGAGCAGGAGCAGGAGCAGGAGCAGGAGGAGGAGCAGGAGGAGGGTGGTGTCGCTTTGCCCTGTTCCTGCCTTTGCTCTGCGCCCCTGCCGTCGTTCCGCCCTCCCCGCCGCGCCCGTCCCGCGCCTCCGAGGCCGCTGGCGCGACGGCGGCCGCGCTGTGGCTGCGGCGGGGGGCGCCCGTGGAGATCTCGGGGCTGAGGTCCGCGCAGGAGCTCGGGCGGCCCTGGGGAGCAGATACAGTGAAAAACCCTAAGAAGGACGCGCGACTTTGCTCAGGGTACCCTTGCGTCCTTGCTCTTCCTTGCTCGTGCGTCTGCCGCCCAAAAAATCCCAACTTCGGCTTCCAAGGGTCTTGCGTCCTTACCGCGCGTCCCTATATTAGGGTTTTTGATTGTAGCGAAGGAGGAGGAGGAGGTGCCGATGCCGCAGCCCTTGGCTCGTTGCCCCCTCGCTGGGCCTCCTGGGAGGCCCTCGTCGCCATGGCCGGTCTCGCCTCGGAAGGCTGGTCAGAAGGCACCCCAGGAGAGGTACGGGGGGCGCCCGTTGAGATCTCGGGGCTGGAGTTGAGGATGGCCGAGGGTCAGAGAGCGCTTTCCTCTGCAGGACCACCAAAAATGGAACGGCAAGGTGGTCAAACGCCTCGCCGACTAAGCTGACGAAAGTGTGCAACATCCAACCCTTCGCTTCGCTATCTGTCCAAAGTTTTAGCTTGACGCCAGGTGTGGTGCATCAGTGTCAGCTTGACCGAGCAGGTTGCCCCTCGACGTCCGTTGGGGGTGTTCTGCAGACCTGACCCCCCAGCCCTACTTGAGGCTGAAGTCCGCGCAGGAGCTCCGCCGGGCCTCTCTCCATTGCGTCGAGGAAATGGCATGCGCGGACTCCTCGGGTCGACGTTCGGGCCCCCTGGGGCGTCTCCGGCGCCGCCCCTTGCGCGCTCCGCAAGCCAGGGAGGCGGGTTCAGCGCAGATAGGAAACATTCGCGTGGAGCTCTGAACATCTATATCTATACGTAGCACCCCGCAGATGCGGACAAGAGTGAGGGGGCGGTGGGGACGTCGGCAGTCTGCGAGACTCTGGAGAAGCCCGCCGCAGGCGCCTAAGTTTCACAAATTATACAACGAGCCCGCCGCAGGCTCCGATTCTTTTCGTTAAACCAATGTGGGTGAGGCGCGGGTGGGTCGCAAATGAGTCGCGGGTGGGTCGCGGGTGAGTCGTTGTTGGGTCGCGGGTGGGTCGCGGGGTGGGTCAAGGGTGGGTCAAGGGGTGGGTCGCGGGTGGGTCGCGGGTGTGGTCGCGGGTGGTTCGCGTGGTGGGTCGCATTGTGGGTCGCGGGGTGGGTCGCGGGTGGGTCGCAGGGTGGGTCGCGGGTGGGTCGCGGGTGGGTCGCGGATGAGTCGCGGGGTGGGTCGCGTGTGTGTCTCGGGTTTGGTCGCGGGTGGGTCGCGGGGTGGGTCGCGGGGTAGTCGCAGGGTGGGTCGCGGGTGGGTCGCGGGGTGGGTCGCGGGTGGGTCGCGAGTGCGACGACGACAATAAACAACAAAACCAACAGCAACAACACCAATACCAACACCAACACCAACACCACCACCGACAACACCATTAACAACATGAGCAACAACAGCAGCAATGTTAACAACAGTAACAACAGCAGCAACATTAACAACAACGCCACAAGCAGAATCCTTACCACGGATTCCCTTTTCAGCCACGCACCAAGGGACAATGAATGGCCGTTCGGCCCCATCACCCTGATATACGTAGCACCCCGCAGATGCGGATAAGAGTGAGGGGGCGGCGGGGACGTCGGCAGTCTGCGAGACTCTGGAGAAGCCCGCCGCAGGCGCCTAAGTTTCACAAATTATACAACGAGCCCGCCGCAGGCTCCGATTCTTTTCGTTAAACCAATGTGACGCGCGGGTGGGTCGCAAATGAGTCGCGGGTGGGTCGCGGGTGAGTCGTTGTTGGGTCGCGGGTGGGTCGCGGGGTGGGTCAAGGGTGGGTCGCGGGGTGGGTCGCGGGTCGGTCGCGGGTGTGGTCGCGGGTGGTTCGCGTGGTGGGTCGCATTGTGTGTCGCGGGTGGGTCGCGGGTTGGTCGCGGGTGGGTCGCGGGTGGGTCGCGGGTGGGTCGCGGGTCGGTCGCGCGGTGGGTCGCGGGTGGGTCGCGGGGTGGGTCGCGGGTGGGACGACGACAGTAAACATTAACAACAGAACTGCAGCAGCAACAACAACAACAACTTTAACAACACCAACAACAACAGCAGCAACACCAACAACAAAAACAACATCAGCAATACTATTTATTACAACAACATTAACAACAACCACTTCAAGACTGTTCGCTCTTATCTGCTCGCGCGTACCTCACCACGTTTATCCCAACCCCCCGATACCCACCCTCTTTGTCTTCGATCGTACCCCCCCCTCGGGGGTACATCTTCCTGACCTGCTACGTGTATTGGGCGCAGCCCCTAACAGAGCAAGAGGAGTGAGAAAGGAGAGAGATACAGAGAGAGAGAGAGAGAGAGGACGACAGAAAGAGAAGGAAAAGAGAGAGAGAGAGAAAAACAAAAAGCGAGGAGGAAAGGAGTGGGGGAAGGGAGGGAGGCAAGTGACAAGAGGGTGGGAGCAGATCTGCGGACGAGAGAGATTAGAAGGTGGGGGCTTAAGAGAGGATTCGGAAGACAAGCGGCAGACCCGGACCGTTGGGTCGGGCAACGGTTCCCAACGGGCGGGTCGGGCGGGCGGGGCCTGCAGACCCGCCGGCGGACCCTAACGGGCGGGTCGGGCGTGCGGGACGTGAAAGCACCCGGCGAGCTTAAGCGAGCCGCCGGGCCTGCCGTTACAGGCAAGTCAGGCGGGCGGCCAAAACGGGCGGGTAAATTGGGGAAATCTCTGGCGAGAGCGTGCGGGTACATTTTCATTATTTGGCACGTGTAGTTGGCGCGGCGCAGCCCCTAAAACAGGGAAAGAGGGGAGACATCAACGAAGAGAGAGAGAGAGAGAGAGAGAGAGAGTGAGAGAGATACTTGGAGGGCAAGGATGAAGCACGAATGGGATTGACAGGAGGCCGGGTGAGAGCAGGAAGCAAGCGGTTCAACAAGATGGGCGGGTGGCCGGCGGACCCCGACTGTCGGATCGGGCGGGCGGAGTTGCGAGTCAGTTTGTGCCATGTCAGCAATGGGGCCACGCAGGGCACGAGCGACTTGGGGCCACGAACGGCGAGTCTATGGGCCACAAAGGGCAGCGAGGGGGCCTTTGAGGGCAGCGGAAGGGGGGCACACAGGGCTACACTGGGGCCACGAAGGGCAGCAGTGGGGCCACTGAGGTCACGAGCAGCTGGGGGCCACGAAGAGCGTATACATGGGCCACAAAGGGCAGCGAGGGGGCCGCTGAGGGCAGCAGCGGGGCCACGAAGGGCAGCAATGGGGTCACTGAGGGCACGAGCGATTGGGGGCCACGAAGGGCATAGATATGGGCCACAAAGGGCAGCGAGGGGGCCACTGAGGGCAGCATCGGGGCCGCGAAGGGCAGCGACTGGGCCACAAGGGGAGGGGCCACGAAGGGCAGCAATGAGGCACAAAGGGCCCGAGCGAGCATGGGGCACGAAGGGCATGACCCTGACGGGCGGGCCGAGCGGGCGGATCAATTGTGAGTTCTGCGTGATTAGCCAGGAAGTTTTCAGCGAGAGAGCGATCCCTAAGTAAATCTGAGGAATTCCCCAGCGAACGCGCGATCCTTAAATGCCAAGAGCGCGGCGCCTGAGTAGATTGCGAGGAAGTCTCAGGCGGGTGCGCGATTCTTAAGTAAATTGCGAGGAAGTCTCAAGCGGGAGCGGGGGACCGGAGCAAATTTCGAGGAAGTATCAAGCGGGAGCCGTTGTTGTTGTTGTTGTTGAACATTATTAATTCTAAAGAATAATTATTGTTGGGCCCCCTGGTGCACGCCCCCCCCCCCGCGCCTAGGCCGCAGCCACATTTTCATCATTTTCGTGAGGAAGTCTCAGGTAAAACGATGTCATCCAGATCCGGTTGTTTTGTTGACGCCCGCTTTCCCTGTCAAAAAACACTATAAAATGACATGTCTTGTTCTAACATAACCAAACTTCAAGAATCCTTTGCAAAAAATGACACGAAGTGCACACTCGCGCGCGCAAGATGAAATCCTTCCAAAACCTTAGTTTTCGTAGCGATTTTAACATAAAAACATGAAAAACCCAATGGTTTTTCAAAAAAAAAGTTTCAAAATTCATCCCGCGCGCTCTTGCGGATTTCTGAGGAAACCCAATATTTTTTCAACATTTCTGTCAAACGGGCTCTTGCGAGCAACTTTTTCACGTGCTTCGAACTTCTGCAACAACGGTTGCGCGCATGCCAGGGCCATCATCCCTGTCAAATAATACCATATGGGACACATTCGTTTTTTCTTCGCGCGCGCACGCCGTCGTCGTCGGCCGCGGGGCCCTGAATAGTAGCCACGGTCGTCCGCATGCCACGAAGTGAAGTGTCCGAACGTCATAGGGCGGGAAGCTGGGTGTGGGTGGTGGCGAAGAGTCGTATGGAAATTTGGTAGAGCTTGAACCGGCCCCCCCACAAAGTGGGGGTATTGCCCGCCTCCTATGAAAACCCTGGCACTGGTGAGAACGGAGTGTCCCCAGTCTTAAATGATTGTTGTTGTTGTTGTTAAACTGGGGGCCAGGGGCACAGTTTGAGGAGGAGCTTTTATCCTTGATGAAAAAGAGTGCGAGCGCCGGGAGGGGCACTTCAATCGAAAAGGTACAATGTGCACCGGAGGGGGGGATCAACAATAATTATCTTTCAGTAATGAAAGAACAACAGCAATCATTTTTTATGTTGTTCGCTCTTACTGGCACGCGTGTCTTGCACTCTGTATACCCAACCCTCGATACCCGCCCACTTCGTCCTCGATTGCACACCCTTTCGGGGAGAATATTTTCCTTGTCGGCCACTGGCTGAAGTGCGCAGATGTCTAGAGCGAGAGCGCCGTTCCTGAGTTCGGGGGCCTCTCTGGCAAGGGGCTCTCGGAATACCGATAGAGAAATATCGAACGGGAGCCCTTGTCGCCGAGTCCGGGCCTCCACCAACTTGCTTGAATTACGGGAAAGTCTCTTGGCCGGGGGCTCTCGGAGTAAACCGTGAGGAAGTATCCAGCAGGAGCCCTTGTCGTCGTGGCTGGGTATC